GCCTCGATAAATTTTGTAGAAATCGATTCAGAGGAATATCCTCCCATATATTACTTGGAGGTAGTTTGGACTTTTAATTATTACTATAATCATAGTTGGTATGATTTAATTCTCACAAATCCCCCATTAAAACTTGTATTTGTTATGTGAAGCTACTAAATATGCAAAGTGGTGTAGGGTAGCATATTGTCGGCCCCGCCTGACTTTAAGACTTTCTTTACTGTTTTTTATTGCTACAAACAAGGGTTAGGATTGTAAACCCTGCTAATCCACAATCTTATGGTGGAGTGTCAGTGAAAGAAAGGGAAAGGGAGAATCTATCGAGGGCCTGCAAACGTATATATTAACGGATGAAGCTAAAATCTTGAAATTTTGTATTGGGGTCCCCATTAGTGTAGGTTTGTGATAAAGAGGTGGTTTTGAAAATGTGTACCAAAATTGCACGAAAAGTACTGAATAGTTCTATATTTGCTATTGGATAAAGGGAAAGAGATAAAATTCTGAAATTTGATATTAAGATTAGTAATGGTATATGTGTTTGAGATTTGACAGGATGTATGGGAAATGCGTCTTATATTTATACGAAAATTACTAAATGGTACTAAATTTAGTATTGGATGAAGTGATGGGGCTGGAATGCTCAAATTTGATATTAAGGGTTCTGTTAGTATCTGGTGTGCAGATCGGATTATGGTTTTGCAAATGCGTACTATAATTGTTCGAAAAGTACTAAATGGTACTAATTTTCCATCAGTTTTGGTGCCTATGATAGAGATAGTTGTATATTGTTTTGGAAATGCGTGGACGATGTAGTCCAAACTGAATACATTGTAATATTTTTATCGTGCACAAATATACAATATAGATATTCATTTCGAGCCCTCCCCAAGAATTTGAGTAATAATAGATTTCATAAAATAGGAAATTGGTGTCCGATTTTCAATATATCAATTCCGGATACCAACAGAGATCTCAATATCAAATTTCAGGATTCCAGCTCAATCGCTTCACTCACTACCCAATTACCAACCATTCTCCATATCTCGATTCCAGATACCAACAGATACCTCAATATTAAATTTGAGGATTCCAGTCCTATCCCTTTAACCAATATCAAATTTAGTACCATTTAGTATTTTTCGTACAAATATAGGACGCATTGCCAAGACTACCTAATTATCTCAATTCCGGATACCAATTCAATGTCAATTTTCACGATTCCAGCTCCTTCCCTTCACTCACTACCCAATTTAGTACCATTTTGTACTTTTTGCATATTAAAACCATCTCCATCTCTCAATTCCAGATACCAACATATACCTCAATATTAAATTTGAGGATTCCAGCCCTATCCCTTTAACCAATATCAAATTTAGTACCATTTAGTACTTTTCGTACAAATATATTGTACACATTTCCTAAACGACCTCCATATCTCAATTCCAGATACCAAATGAGACCTCAATATTGAATTTAAGGATTCCAGCCCTTTCCCTTTAACCAATATTAAATTTAGTACCATTTATTACATTTCGTACAAATAAAAGATTCCAAATCCCAAATACATATAACATCAATAATCTGAATATCAAATTTTGAGATTCCAACTCAATCCCTTCGCCCAATTTAGTACCACACAGTATAATTATAGTACAACTTTCCGAAACCACCTCCATATGTCCAGGCTACACTAAAACAGCGACCCTAGTACCAAATTTCAGATTTCAAGCACTATTTTGTCACCCAAAACCCAATTGTACCAAATATAATACCATTTGGTACTATTCAGTCAGTCAGTCAGTTATAGCAACCCTAAAACGTAAACGATTATGTGATACAACACTTTTTTATGCTGGAAAATAAAACTTAAGGGATTTCCATTTACTTAATATCAAAACAAAAACCGTCGTCCAGCCAGCCTGTTTAGCCATAACATGCCCTTGTAAAAATCGTGACAAAATTGTGTAGAATTATAATCATTATTAAGTAATGATTGAACTGCCTTCTATGGCTTAAACAATATATATATATATATATATATATATATATATATATATATATATATATATATATATATATATATATATATATATATATATATATATATATATATATATTCAGTTTGCATTTGCACAGCCTATGACAGAAAATTTTGTCTGTTCACGTCTTCGTATAGCCCCCATATAACTGCACCTCCAATATTCGGCATTTTGATGATTTTAGCGACATTATTTACTGGAATTGTTTCAAATTGGGTATTTGAAGTTCGTAATAGATACTACAGCTTAAAACAGAAAATGAGCCATGTAGGTCCACCTCTTCGTATAGCCCCCATATAACGGTAGCTCCCGATATGCGGTATTTTGATGATTTTAAAGACATTATTTACCGGAATTTTGGTATTTGAAGTTCGTAATGGATACTAAAGCCTATGACAGAAAATTGTCTGTGCAGGTCCACGTTTTATAACCCCCATGGTACCTCCCTATATTCGGTATTTTGATGATTTTAGCTACATTATACACAGATTTTTTTCAAGTTCCGCATTTGAATATTGTAATAGCATGTGACAAAAGTTGCCTACGCAGGTCCACGTCGTTGTATAGACCATAATATACGGCTACGTTCGGTATTTTTAAAATTTTAACAGAATTTTTAACGGATTTTATTGTTTTGAAAATTGTTAAATTTGTTCCAAATGGTGGAGGGTATTCAAAGTTCGGCCCAGTCGAACTTACAGCTTTTTTTTTTTTAATATAATCCTTCTCAAGGTAATATCATGCACTCTATAGCAATGTTATTTGGTATAAAAGATTAAAATGTCTTCGTCAAATTTAGTGAAAATCGATTCAGAATTGAATATGCCTCCCATATATTAGTTCCCTCTGCCCTACTCTTAAGCCATATGTTGATAGGTGGTATGTTCTACTTCAAAGAAAGTATTTTGTTACGGGAGCTTCACTAAATATGTATAGTGGTGTGGGGTATCATATTGTGGGCCCCTCCCGCCTTTTGAATTTTCCTTACTGGTTTTCTTCTTGTCATAAGTAAAATATATATTTTTATTTGGTATTGAAAAGGCGTCATCACTTACCTTAATAAATAAATTAATAATTTAAAAATAAATAGTTTAGAAAATATGATAATAACGTTCTTATATTTTAAGTCTATATGTTTTTTTTTTGTTTTGGTGTTTTTTTTTTTTTTGTATTGCACTTTATTAATTGGCTGATTGGTTCAGTTTAAGGGGTAAAGTGTTGCACAAGTCTTTTTATGACACCTTCAATCTAAAAAAATACAAAATAAAAAATTTATATAAAAAATTTATATAAAAAAATTTATGAATAATTATAAATGGGGTCTTTGTATGTCAAGGCTGCTACTTTGTATTTTTTATATTTGAATTTGTTTTTTTTTCAAATCACTTCATTTCTCTTTTATGTTTTGAAATTTAAATCCCAATTTGTTTTAATAATATCCAATAAAGGTCCACATTATACAGCTTTTTTTTTGGCTTTTAGAATATACACTCAAACCGCTTTGAATCAGAATATTCAAATATTTTTTTCCTCTTCGAATTTATAAAGATTTGAAGCACTTCATCCACGATAATTTCGAATATTTAAGTAATGAGTATTTCACCATTGATCGAAAAATAGTTGCTATAGAATTCTGCTCATTTATATGTATTTTCCAATATTTTTTCTTTTTTCAATATTCGTTTTTATTAATTTTTCCACACTATTTTCGATTTCAAATTTTTTCTCGATCACACCAATAAATCCTTTTAATTTTATCACTTACTTTTAAATTTTGAAATCAAGTTTTATATTTTTTTTTTTTTTGGTATTTTTGGCGATTGAACGCACAAGTTCAAGAGTCTCACACACTGGCGCGTCACAACTTTATTCTAATAATTTTGGAATAAAAAGACAACAACAATAAATATCCAACGTAAATTTGAACTTCGAAATTAAAAATATTCACTTTCAAACAATGTCAGAGTCAATGCGATTTCTTTTAAATTTTTTTTTTGGGCACACGGATGCTCCGGTATAACGGACAAATTTCAAGAGACCCGGACACCGTTACAGTTACACGCAGACTAAACTCCTTGGAATGCCATAGACGAGAAAAATTGTGCGTGGCCCAAAGTCTGAAGAAAGAAGAAAGGAAGGAAAGAAAGAAACCGAAATCGAAAACGATGTGTAAACAATCGTCGGGCCGATCGCCTGAAAATAGAAAATATAGTTCACTGCAGTTTGCTGGGGATCCTGACGTGGCAGAGGCGCGACGTCACTGTTGACGCAGGCAGTGATGCTCCTGCGAGGCAATGTTTATTTAATTTTCATGTCATATGTGAACATTTTGTAAAAGACGCAGCCAACTGACTGACTGTCACAGATGCAATGCTGCTGCTGCTGCTGCACCAGCCCGTCAGTCAGCCCGCCAGCAGCAACGGCAGCCACTGAACTGTATTTTCCCTTCTTCCTTTTTGGCATGTGTTTGTCGTTTTGTCTGTCTGCTTTTTTTGTTATTTTCCCTGTGCTCGACAAAAGGCTTTCTTTCTTCTTGGGCTGACTTGCCCGTTACACGCCATTTTTCCAGCGAAGAAATCTATTTTTGGCATTTGAAGATTTCATAGATTTTCGTTTCGTTTTTGTGCACTTAGAGATACATTCTAACAAAAAAACACACAAATGCATTGCCCGCCGATAGATAGATTTTAGAATATTGTTGTTGTCGTTGTTGCATTGTTTTTGTTTTCTTTTTGTATTCGAGCAATTCGTGTTGACATTTCGAAGACAACAATGGAATGTTGAGATTTTATTAGTGCATAAATTTTTTGGTGGAAGAGGTCGGCGAAAATTGAAAACCAAAGGCAATATGTCACTTTTTCGGTACAAAATGTGAAGTGGATAAAGGGGGCGGACAGCGTTTCCACCCAGGGTCAATTCGAATACAAAATTTGGGAGATTTTAAAAATGAGGTGAACTTACATGGTTTTTCTTTTGCTTGCATTGGAATTTCAGACAAAGATTCGTAAGCGTTAAGAAAGGGTCCTTGCTTATGGCTTCACCTCCAGGATTGACCGCAATTTTTCAAAACTGACTTATTAGAAAAAATTAGAATTTTTCGTTTATTCAAACAAAAATAAAACAAATTTAATTACGAAATTCCAAAAATTTAAATGAAGTAAAAAGCATGACTGAATACCAAAAAAAAATTTTTTTTAAGTAGATTATTGAGAAGGTCGGCACTTGATTTAATATTCTTAAAATATCTACGACATTATGAGATGTTCCTAGATAAGAATATTTTGAAATATTTAAGGTGTAAAAAAATATTTCAAAATCTGAAAACTCTCGAAAATTCTTAAAAAATCCACGATTTGATGTCCTTGAAAACTATTTTTTATGGCCTTATGATTCTTTCAAGGCCTGAATGTCTTTAAGAATACCTGAAATGTACCAAAAATAAAATCTTTTTTATTCAGGCTTTGAAAAAAAATTAGCGAATTGATAGTGCTTGAGAAATATTTTTCAAAAAAAAAATCCATGAACTAAGTATCCTTGAAAGATGTTATTTAAAGATGAGAACTGAAATCTGAAGCTCTTTAAACTTTATCCTTCAACAAATAACTTTTACATAGTTCCTTGAACAATTTCCCTTAAAAAAATAAAATTTAATATCGTTCACCATCTAACGATCCTTGAGAAGATTTTTTCACAAAATTCCATTATCGAAGAATCCTTGCACAATATTCTTGAAAGAAATCAACGATTTAACAAAAAGTTTTAAAAACTAACGAGTTTGATGGCCTCTGTAAAAAATATTTTTTGTAATCTTCCTCGATCAGAAACACAATTTAACCGTCCTTCAAAAAATATCCTTTAAAAAGTCAACAAAATAAGGATTTTTGAAACCCAATTAAAACCGATACGCAATTTGATCGACCTTCTAAGAATCTTGCAGATAAAGCTTTGAGGGTCCTTGAAAAAAAAATTCTTAATAAATCTGTGCTTAAAGGCTGAGGTCCTTAAAAATATTTTCAACAATTTAAAAAGTATCAGTCGGTTTGCCGACAGATATATACCCTCGATTATTTAACATTATATGTACATCTGTTATGATTATTCAAATTTTTTGACTTTCTATGGAGTAGTTTCCGAAGGAATGGGCCAATATTGTCCATTTTGTATCCGTCCTAAATAAATATGATATAAATATTGCGACGTGCCAGGTTTGGACTATATTGGTTACTTCTCTCACTTCACATGAGATATGTGATAATTTTTAGAAAATTTTAAAATGTGCGTGAGTTGCCATATTTGGTCGACCGAAATATAGCATTTTCAGATTAAATGAAACTTTTTGCAATTCAAATGAAACTTTTTGCAGCGGGAATGAAACCTTTTGCAGTGGAATTGAAACCTTTTGCAGTGGAAATGAAACCTTTTGCAGTGGAAATGAAACCTTTTGCAGCGGGAATGAAACCTTTTGCAACCGAAATGAAACCTTTTGCAACCGAAATGAAACTTTTTGCAAATCAAATGAAACTTTTAGAATTTTAGAAGAAAAAATAACAAAACATTTTTATTTTTAGTAGGTTTAAAATTAAATCAACTAATTATAACTAATATATAGTTAAAGAGGAATTTTTATTGATTATTAATATCTATGTTTTTATAATTTTTTTAAAGCTTCCATAAAACACAAGTGTAGATGCAGAAAGATTGAAAAAAGTTTTTTCAAGGTATTTTTTTCAAAGGACCCGAATTAGGTACCTTTTTATAATCTCCTCCATGGAAAGGGGGATATAATAAATTTGTCATTCGGTTTGTAACACCTCTAAATATTCGTCGTAGACCCCATAAAGTATATAAAATCATGATCATAGTTGATTTAATGATCAATAAAGCTGCGAAGCGGGAATCCTTTATTAGGTAAGATTAATAGTATACTATAACTATAAACATTGTGGTAAAGCTTAATTTCACATTTCAGTCCTGGCCATACCTATAAAGGCCAAAATTTGTTTAAATTTCTCTTTTTATCGTTAAGCATTTTGGATTTAATAATATGGAAGCATTGTATATCAAATCAATAAAGAACCATTTGTTATTACAATAATTGAAAATTTCAGAAATAATATAAATAAATGTAGATATTTATAATCAATAAAAAATCCTCTTTGTCAATGTATTAGTTATAATTAATTGATTTAATTTAAAAACTACTAAAAATAAAAATGTTTCGTTGTTTTTCCTTCTATAAATTTAAAAGTTTCATTTGATTTGCAAAAAGTTTCATTTCGGTTGCAAAAGGTTTCATTTCCGCTGCAAAAGGTTTCATTTCCACTGCAAAAGGTTTCATTTCCACTGCAAAAGGTTTCAATTCCACTGCAAAAGGTTTCAATTCCGCTGCAAAAAGTTTCATTTGAATTGCAAAAGGTTTCATTTAATCTGAAAATGCTATATTTCATTTTCCTACTTCATCTAACACAGATAAAAATCTAGGTATGGGCAAAATTATAACAAATCGAACATATATATCCAATTTTATGCGAAGCCATAAATTCCATATTCATCCCTGGTTTCTTGCTGAGAGAAATATTTAGTTGTAAAGACTCGCTGACTTGTTTTACAAGTTATGACAGATAAAAGTATTGAAAATTACGACCCTTTGTGAGTGAGGTACCAGAAGGCGTTCGCAGATATATATTTCCTTCACAACAGATCATGTGTTTGCAAAAATGTTTGTATGCGTGATATTTGAAGAAAGTTGTAACCTTATGAGGTACTTGATGGAGTGAACCGATATTATCCTTTATCGCACCTGACCTGGTACTAAATTGGATGTGCAAATGATGGAGCAAACTCGGATTATCTTCTGTGTAAAGTAAAGTATATTTTTTGAAAATGTCGACTTTTTGTGGGAAATACACCAGAACGAGTGGACCAATATTACCCATCTCTAAAATCTCTCTATGTTTGATAATAATTTTGGACCAAATCGGATACTAAATTCGAGAGTTGTTGTGCTCACCAGCCAGCCAGGCAGAAGGACAGATGGACAGACGGATATCGCTAAATCGACTACAAATGTCCGGATTTGGCGCAATGAGACCTAGGGTCTTAAACCGTTATCTCGATGAGGCACGTTTTGGCCGTATCTAATGATATATACCCTATAATAAACGATCCGCTGGTCCTTGTTAAAATAATCTTTAAAATCCATTATTAAATTGTCCTCTCAAAAATATTTCCAAAACTAATCGCGATTCAGTGGCCTTTTAAAAAAAGGATTGAGGACTACGAAGATGTATTCTCATAAAGGTCAAGGATTGATAAAGCCTTTAATTTTTTTTTTTTTAATAAGTTTACGACTTGAGGTCATAGAAAAGTATTTTTAAAGATGTCCATGGTAAAATATTCTTTGAAAAAATCCACCATTTAAGGTCCTTCGAAATTGTTCTTAAAAAAATCATGCTTGGAGATTGGGTGGTCTTCGTAAAATATGAAAAATCCATTTTGTAACAATTTGTAAACAAACAAAATGATCGTGTTTACTCGCCAAAGAGGTGAGCTGAAAATGTGCATCTTCGGATTTCAACCGCCGGTCATGGTGATTGTGTGGGCCGCCATAACATCCGATGGTCCCTCTCCGCATGTATTAATCGACCGTGTCATCAGAATAAATGCCGAATATTATCGCGAAAATATTCTGGAAATGCTTTTGTACGCTAGTAAACAATATAATGAGCTGTCACTGGAATAATTTTAACAGCTCTCGGACGTGTGGCTTAGAAATGACAGCAGTCTGAAGTTGGTTGCAATTTTTTCATCTTACGCTGTAAATCCAGATTTTGGCAAAAATTGTACAGTTTTTTCTAAAATTTAACTCAAAGGCGAATCGACTTCAGGGCATTATTCACGTATGGCATTTTTTATTAGCAGAAGATACTGAATCTCGATTTTGAAAAATTCTTCTTTGTCTTTGTCATGTAAGGATTTCCATTCCTCTTGCTCTCTTAAGGAGTTAACTGTAGTAAGGGGTTTTAAAATATGGAAAAGATTAATCAAAATCCATTAAACTGTACCCCAAAAACACAGAAAAAAATTACAAAAAAAAAATCCCACTCCTTCCCCACCTTCCCCTTATTAGGAAAAAAAACCCCAAACTCCAAATGTAATATGATCGGTAATCAAAATACTCCAAAGTACATCCCAACTTTTTTTTTTCAGTTTCTCAGGAGTTCAACCATTGAAAATTGAATGGAAAACACTTTAGTTTCAAAATGTGTCATTTCTATCCGGAAAACATATCTCAAATGAAATATTAATATTTCACGTACTTCGACTAAGGAAAAAAATGAATGGAAATTATTTTCAAAATATAATTTAAAACTCGGTTCGAGTTGACAGAATGGCTGTAAAAGTCATTGGCCTCGCGATAAAAAACAAATATGAAGAAAGTTTTTCGACGTTAGATAGCGAAGAGGGAGCGAGCAAGAGAGAGGGAGCACCAATTCCACACACCTTCCTTCCAGCGATATGTGAACATGTGTCAGTCACATCATTGCAGGGCATAACAAGCCTTGTATGAGCTCGAGATCGAGCGAAGTAGTCGAGCCGCTAACAAAGGTTTGACAAGATGTGTTGTTTTTTTTTCTAGGATCTAAAGTACAATGCACTTCATGTAGGTTTTGTTGTTGTTGTTGTCTTCTCCTAAGGATGTGTAGTAGTTGTTGTTCAAGCGCGAGTTACGCATTTCATGCATGAAATCCAACGTTAAAGAGAAAAAAAAAAACACAAAGAATGAAAGAATTGAAGTGCAACGATGCCTTTATTATTCGTTACACTTCTCAAGTGACACAATGCAATAATGAGACAAATCCACGGTTGAAATCTTGAGGGAAAATATTCTTGAAAATATTATTTAAAATGGTAGAACCTATTCAAAATAAGTCTCCAGAAATCTTCGCTTTGAAGTCTGATGGTCCTTTAAGAAATGTTAAAAAAAATATTCAAGAAATTAAAAACATTAGATGAAAAAAAGTTGTAAGGTCTTGTGCTGTTCTTAAAAACAAGTCTAAAAACATCCAAGTTTTCATTTCGTACTATCTTCAAA